CACGAAGATTATCTTGATAAACCAGAATTGGACCTCGGAGTGATTCAGTTGGATCAAGAACCGATTTAAATTTCATCCGTTGAAGATTTTCAAAAGCCTCACGTCGATGAGGTTCAACGTAAAGAAGTAAATTGTTAACCAGATCCATGATCATTGCAAATTGTTGGGAATTGGTGTAAATCTCAAGATCATGATGATTCATGGTAAATGAATCAACGGCAATCTCTTTATCCCAAGGTTCCAGATTAAGAAGATCATCTTCTTCCGGTAAGGGTGGGGCTTTATCGACAATATCGGAAGGCACATCTTTGGAATAATTAACATAATAAAATTGACAGGAACATCTTGATATGATTCGTTGTAATTGAATGGGTGAAGAGGAAAGTATATCCGATCTACCGACGACCGGAGAGACAACACCTCCAGCCGATTGGCCTGAACCAACAAGATCGGGAGGTTCATTTATATCGATGCAAGTTTTTTCCTCAATATTATCAACAGTTAACCAATCGATCTCATCGTCATCAGATCGATGAGCGTCTACCGTTGCATAGTATTGCATTCCCTCAATCGAACCCACCAGTGAGGTTTTACTTAGAAGAGTTCGATCTTTCCAAACGGGAGTGTAAAGTTTCTGGACTATCTGAGTTTTGGAAGCGGAAACAATCATGTAACCAAAAGTTTCGCATCCTCGTAACATGACCTGAGAATTGACTAATTCGATGAGCCAGTTTTTCTTGATCACATTCTCATCTGAACAGGCCGCTATTCCCCTCAATTTGGGCTCCTCTGAGACAAGAGCACCTTCAACATCATCGGTAAAAACGCCTTCAGGGTTTGACTCAGAGTCGGCGATCAGTTTTTGCAACATCGAAGCGGCATAATTTTTATTCAACGTTGACGCTGGAGATGATGATTGAGGTTGATTAAGATATTTTCCTTTAACTGGTGATCCACCGCTATAGCCCGATTGTCCGTCAATACGAATACCTTTAAGTGCGTCGGTGGACAGGTTACGTTTTAATTGTTCAGCGTTCATGTAAAGATCAAACAACGATACGGCAATGTCACGATTCTGCTTGGTCCAGGCTCCTTTTAGACCGTGAATAACCAAACCATGGGTTGGATCATTTGAATCGGGATCATTGAATTCAGTTGGATTAGTGGCCTCGGAGGAAGCTCGATTGTAGGACATCGTTTGGAAAGAAACGAAAAAATGTCTAACGGTTCCTCGAGATTCGTAATGATCTTCAATATCTTCCAAACTGGGGGTCATTTTAACGGAATCATTTTTACACAACCAAATCTCGACATCACTGACCTCCGAGTTCATACAAGCAACATAAGACACAGGTCGAGGTCTAGAAGACAAGAGAAAGTAAATCAATTAAATTTTATCGAAATTAATCAATTAATTAGTTCAAATTACCTTCGACATAATCCATCAGCATAAGGGATAAAGGATATCTTATGAATCGCACTGTGACTTAATGAACCACCAAGAAATTCAAGTCCTAATTGTTTAGAGAGGGAAGACCAATAATAGACCTGAAATTGGAACAATTAATTAGTTTAAAAAAATGATACGGATATTGATCAACAATTAAGACAATTTACCTTGAATTTTTTTAGATAAACAGTTAGTCTTATTTCCTTGAAGATTCGAGAGAAAGGCTTTTTTCGAGGTTTAACATTTCCGAACAATTTACCTCTTCGGGTTAGACGAGCGATCCCACGGAATATTGTTTTCTGATTTTCTAACCATTTAAGTGTCGAACTGAACAATGTAATCGACGGCATTTGTTTCTGACAAACTTTTAAATTTTCTATGCAAATTTGAACCTTTAAATTTTGTGATCTAAAGGCTCGATATGAGTCCCAATTTTGGTGGATTGAATAATCGGGAACTTTGTCCGCTGCATGTGGAGTGACCGGATGATGATCGTAAGGGTTACCCAAGCATTCCCACATTAGGTCAACAGTAATACGAACATCGGGAAAGTTTAAAATTTTACGTTCATCGTATTTGGAAGCGGTGTGAACGAGTAAACCAAGAGTACCACAAACACCAATTTTACCAGTGACACAATCAATTTTGGGAGAGCCGAAAGCGATTTCAATTAACTCCGTTGAATTATAGGGATTAAGTGACCCGTGAAGGAAGAATGATAAATTTTTCGAGGTGACCCGAAGGGAACCATGGAAAAGGAGTCGAAGGCGATCCCACCAAGGAAGTGAAGGACTAGGGTCAACGGAGGGTTTAATTATCGATTCAAAACAAATGCTTAATTGTTGTAAAACGGGCTCCCAACAGGCACCATGAGTATAAGCGATATAATCAACATCAAAGTTAAGATCGTGATAAAATTTCAATGGTGACATTGAACGTTCAATGATGAGTGGAGGGAGACCTGGACCTAAATCTATGGGACACTCTCGACGAGAACGGAAACCGGCCTCTTTTTCAGCACCAAGAAGTAAACCGGAAACTTTTAAACCTTTAAGGTCCAATAAAGGTTTAGGGAAATCACGAAGACGTGAACAAAATGATCCAATCGATCCTTGAACATATCGACCCCAGAGAGTTACAAATTTAAGGTCAGTCGGAAAAGGTGATTCTCTGTCCAGTCTTTTGGTTATTATTTCAACCAGTTTATCGTAACCAGTTAAAGAGGAATCAGCGGCAATTTTTAGTTCCAAGTCTTCAACGGAAATAAGGAATAGATGAGCTCGTGGTGGACTAGTAAGGTAAAGTTTTCGATGTCGTTCAATGTAAACATTTTCCTGTTTCTTTGATAAAGCGGCAAACAGTTCGTTCAATTTGGCCTCAGTTAGAGACATATTTTTCTTTTTCGATTCGTCGATTTTTTCTCTCCACATTTGTATCCTTTTCTTACTCTCATGATATTCATCTTCCATTAGCTCATAATTATCACGTAATTTCACCTCGAATGGATCATCGCCCACCTCAACGGTAATCGTTTTAATCTTAATATGAAGATCACATTTTACTACATCTCGAACGGGATTATTTGAGGAATGATATTTACGTAACCATTTCATGGTTCCAATGAATTTCTCATTGAAAATCTCGGCAAAATTAAACTTATACGGGAACATTAGTTTAATTGATTCAATGGTAATCGAGAAGATATTATTTCTTGATAGATTAAGAGGTTTACCAGAATCAGTGAAATCTTTACGATTAATTATTGAACCACTTTCTGTATCAGGTAAACGGATAAATCGTAGTTGATCAAATTTACCAATTAAACGATTATCGACAATCAGTGATATTGAACAGTCCGCTTTAAAGGTCATCCTATCACCAGAGGGAATGGTCAAGTTCATACAGGGAAATTCAAGGAAAACCGTTTGTCCAACATTGGAAACTAATGCACCGATTTTAACATTATCACCTAATTTAATTGTGGTCGTTGTGATGAGATTCTTTTTAATTGCTGATTGCTGCTTGACACCAGTGGTTGCGCTGCTTCTGGATGATCTAATTGTACTCCAAATGAAACGGATTGAACGATAAGCTCGAACCATGTTCATGTGAAAAGATACACTCCATAAAAGGTAAGCGTCATCGGAAAAGGTAAATGAACGTTCATGATTAGTATAATCAATGGTAAAGGTAAAATCAGATGAATATAATCGCCTCTGGTCAATTTCAACTGAGTTAATTGTATTAGAATCAACTAATGGTGTCAATAAGTGAATCTCTGAATTTTTCAAGGCCATAACAATACGATTGGTGTCAATTTTAAGGTACGATGATTTAATGGTTAATTTCAATTGCTCAGAGACAGCGATTAAACCATTCAATTTTAAATCAAAGGTTGATGATTTAAAAAGTGATAAATTATGTTGATTGTGATGAATTGATGTTACAGTTGATGATGATGAAGATGATGATGATGGTGGTTGTGGTTGTGGTTGTGGTTGAGGTTGACATGTAGATGATTTTTCATTTTCTCGATTTATATTTTCTTCATCAGTTAATTGTGATGCTGATTGTGGTAATTTAGCTTCTTGTTTCTCGGTAAATAATTTAACAAGTACTGATTGAATACAATCAATGTCTAAAACAGGATCTTCAATACTACAATTCATTATTGAATTTGATAGTAAAGTATGACTCAGCTGTTAAAAAAAAGAGGAAAACAATTAGTAAACAAAGTGATTAACTATTTAAATTGATTGTGAGTCGTAATTGAATCAAATTAAATTACCTTAAAGTGACAAGTTTGCCAGACTAGAATATCTTTAGTATGAGCATTAGATGATTCTGAACATGGAACTGGTAGATTGGTTTGTTCGGAACAATTAAGATTATCCAAACGAAATTCAAAGCTATCAAATAGAATAGAAATTAACAATTAACAATTAATATTAATAGAAAAAGAAAGAGAAATAATCAATGATAATTTAATGTTAATTTTATCGAAAATGTTAACTAACCTTAATTCTTGTCTAATTGGATCTGGATCAATGTTTGCAGTTAATTTACCATTTTGGATGGAACCAATTAAACATTTTGGATAACAATATAAACAATTAGAATATCGAATGGAAATATTTTTAAATTCAGTCTCGAATGATAATTTAATTCTTGGATTTTCATGTCGTAAAATTATCGAGAGTAAATCATCCTTGCTGGTTAACGATTTAATCGTTGAATTGGTCGATGATTGTGAAACTTTCGATGAGATTGATGATGTTGTTAAACGATTAATTAGATTTAACCAATAGTTAATTTCCATCTCATTGTAGGTTATATGAAGATTAATTATTTCTGAAGTATTGGTGATCTTGATACATTGATTGATGCAACTTTCTTCTTGAATCTTGCCTTGGAAAGATAATTTTGCCAATGAAGCAATATCATAATTACTTTCATTTGAAAGTGAAGTTAGAGTTAAATTGTTAACAATTAGATCAATGTTAACATGATTGCAAGATTTTTTACCAATCCTGAATTCAGTTTCATCATTGATTAGAGTTAAAATTTGATTATTTTCATTGTTAATCAGTTGAAAATTTAACTTCTCACAAGTGAAAATGATATCATTGAAATTGTATAGAAAATTAAATGATTTAAACAAATCAATTGGTGATGATGATGATGAAGGTGGGGTAATTGTTGGTGGTGTTGTTGATGATGATGATGAAGATAATGATGATAGCTCTTTGGATATAATGTTAGATGAAATCAGGGTGGGTTTCGATGATGAAGCAGCAGTATCGTCGATTAAGTTAATTAAAGATTCGTGAACACTTAATTTAAGACCAGATAAATGGATGTTTACACCAATTTTATCTTCATTAAAATTCAGTTGAATTTCAAAATCAAGGCTAAAATCAGCTAAAAGGTTTGATTCATCCGTTTGGTGATGATGTAAAGTAGGTGGTGGGTGATTGTCATCATCAGCATCTCCATCAATACCAATGGATTTGTAAACATTTCCCTTAACTTTGTGAGCAGAAAATTTCAACACTAGTGATGATCCCTTATTGTAATAGTAAATATTTAAACCTTCAAGGCTAAGGTTGAGCAGGCAATTCTGAACGGGTTCATTTTTACTGGTGGTGATGAGCGATTGTTGTTGTTGTTGTTGATGATGATGATGTGGGACTACAGTTTGATTAAGATCAATATTGGTTACATTGATTGAGAGGAATCTCAAATAGCGTAACCATTTAAGTTGCTTGGTGAAACTTGTTGTTCCATCAACATTTCCAAAAATATGATTAGTATTGTTGACGATTATCGATTCTGTTGATGATTTAAACATTTCCTTTGATCGGGTTGAAGAAAATAATCTTAAATTTCCACCTTCAATTCTGCAACCACTGAAATTAATTCCAATTAGAGATTGATTGTTTGAATTAATCAAATGAACCGATAACCATATAAAGTCTATCTCCTGAAAAAATTTACCGTGAGAAGATAATTAAACATTAATTGTGTATTAGTATAAAGAAATAAACAATGACAATTAATGAGGAGAAAATTTTGATTAGCTTACAATTTTACATCCATCGGATAATAATAAGGTGAGACCATTAAGTTGGAAAAATCTGATTCCATTGATTCTCAAAATTGAACCATATTTAGTTTTAAGTAGCCAAGATAAAACGAAAAGGAATAACCTGAAAATGAGAAGAGGAAACAATTAAATTGATTAGAATCAGGTATCATCAGAATAGAATTAAATACAAACCAAATACTAATCCATGATAAGATTGGAATTAGACAAAGTAGAACCAATGAATTGTTGTATAAATAGTAATCAATTAAACTGTACATCATGATTGAAGATGAAGATGAATGAGAAATGAATATTATTATTGTTATTGTTATTCCCAAAGATCCAAATGTTTGTGTTAGAAAAGATGGCGAGGTGATTTAATTAGAGAAATGGATGAATGAGAAACACAAACAGAAATTATAAACACTTTTGAATTTGAAACAATTAAGAAAATTAATGAATCATTTTTTTTAGAGAGAAAAAAAAACAAATTCAAATGGATGATCACTTAGAGAAAATGTTAGAGATCAATGTGGACGTTTATTCATTTGAAGTGAGACAATTAAAGGGAAACAATTAGAGAATTATTTTTATCAACTAATCATGTTAATCAGCTTTTAAAATAGGAGAAATCTCTTAATCAACAATTTAATCAAAGAGATTAACAGAAAAACAAATCAACAAAACAAAAAAATCAAAAGAAATGAAAAACAAAAATGTAAACAAAACAGTCAATTGATTTATTGAAACTCCACCTGGTGAATGGTTGAGACACGACAAACCACCGAGGTGCCGCCATGGGCACTCAACTAATTGTTTAGTTACAAAAATAGTTTTCAAGTTAACCAATTGATTAAAACGATTGCACCTTTGTAATTTGTAATTAGTATTAATTGCGAGTCCTCATTTGGAGAGTGAAAAAAGTTTTCAATTCAAATCTCAAGATGACCAAGTCCATTTTTTTGTACTCGAGCTTCAAAAGGAAACCAAATTGTGACCACAGTCATCAACGATTTTCAACTTAAATGAGAAAGAGATGAACAATCCTGGTAATCGGTTTGTAAAACAATTAATCAACTTAATCTATTAATTGTTTAATTAATAAAAGTCGAAGAGCTGAAATAAAAAATCCGATTGAACATCTTCATCTAGAAAAGTTACAAAAGAATCCACCAGATGGCGCATCAAAACGTTAATTGTTCGAAAAATTAACAAAGTTTCATTTTCGCAATTGGAACTTTTTAATTGTGATTTTAAAAGAGAATCTCAAATTCTATTTAATGTAGTGGAACATCAATAAATCGTAGATTAGCCCCTCTTTCAGAATTCTCAACAACTTCCTCTATTCATGAGTATTTAAGAGGCTTCGATTGAAAATCCTTCGATAAACCGGAAATAAGATCACAGAGAAAAAGATAATAATAATTAACGAATTAATTGTTTTCATATAATAATACAATGTAATGTTATGATGTAAAGATGAACACAACCATCAATTCACTAAATCAGTGATCCCATTGATTTGATTTGCTTTTTTTTACAATAAAATTGATTTAAATTGTTGATAAATTCAAATTCATTCATTTTCTTCAATCAAAATTTTTGTTAACATTTAACTGGATCAATAAATTATTAATAATTGTCCAATAGTTTACGATTACAATTGATTAGATTTTACAATCCATTTGGATACGAAAACATTTCTAATTGATTAACATTTGTTTTGCTTTTTTTTGCCTCATTCAACTTTAATCAAGTTCATTCATGTTAATTGTGAATTTGTTGTTTGCTTTTATTTGTAATTGATTGTTGGTTAATCAAGTGAATTTAATTGTTAATTGTGTTGGTGTATTTCATTTTATGTGAGTCAATTAGTGAGTGAGTGAGAGAGTTAATTGTTAATTAAGGTTCTGGAAGGAAATGGTCACAACCATAAATTTCAATGTTAATTCTTAATCATTACAACCATTTAACTAACTAATTGTAATTAATTGTTTTCATATTTATAAGCATTATAATTATTGCAATGGTTACGGTTAAATTAACTAGAGTGTTTTTTTTGTTGATTAACTTAATTACAATTGAAATGTATCATTGGTTTAAGATTTTGATGACTTTAAGCTCAATTGAGTTACTGGTTTAGTCTAAGATAAATTAAATCAACAATTAACACCAAAATAATCACTGAATCAAATCAAGAAATTGAAATTAAAACAAAAATCCTAATTTGAGGTATTGTTGGTTAACTCAATGGTGGTAATTAAATTAGATTGGATTAATGAAATAAGAAGGGATTTGAGGATAAACAATTAAAAAGATTTCCAATTTGATTTGTTGATCAGTTGATTAGGTAAAAGTTAATTGTTGAGTTAATTATTATGTATATATTTATAAGCGACGATAACACAACCTTTGTTTTTGTTTTTCCAGTTAAATTGAACATGATTAACAAATTAATTGTTAATTTGTATTGACAACGATGATGAAGATGTTGATAAATGGACAGGGAAGGCGAAACGTTCAATTTATCATAATATTATCAGAATGATGATTAAGAGACGATGAGAATATAATTAAAGTTAATTGTTGACGAAGAAGAAAAAATGAAAAAAAAGATCACGATATTATCCTTTCTATGAGTTTATCCTTAGAATCTGATATTGGTGAAGTTTCCTTAATATCCTTGCGATGATGATGATGATGATGAGAGATGATAATGATTAGGATGATGAAGATGCGACACAACCTTTGGTTTCGTTATTATTATTACTATTTATAAGAGAGAGAGAGAGTGAGAGTGAGAGAGATATATAATTGTGCTCCCGTGGATATTGATGATTCTTTAATATTAATAATTTATCCTTTGGTCTTCAGGTGATTCCTTGAGTTGATATTATCCATCCAGGGGATGAAAAGATGAGGATAATCAGAGATGATCAAGATAATCCTATGGTTCCAATTATATTAATGTAATAATGGTACACCTTGTGTACCATATATATAACAAGGTAAATGATATTAATATACGATATCAGGTTAATTTTGTTTCCATAATCAAGTAATTGCATTTTTTTTCAGTTCAATTATCGTTACCAATGGACCAGAATTTATCATTTCCATGATGAGATTTTCAATCGATATGTTGATTATATATTGGTAATTGTGATAATATTAAGAGCGGTGGTGATGATTTGATTAATTCATTGGTAACAATTCTGTTATTTGACAATTAAATTGTGGAAATAATTTCAATTCTCTCTCGATGATGATGATCTTCGTTAAATCCTGTTAATTGTTATGATTATTATTATGCTAGGCACTAAAATGAGAGTTAATTGTGATTATTAATTTTGTTTTCCTCCATTTTTCATGTATTGATTTGCTATCAAATGGTCATCTTTGATTTAGATGTTCATCTCATTGAGTTTTAATTAATCAGCTTGATGATTATCTCATTGGGAACCAAATTAGTATAATTGTTACCATTGAAGTGACAAGGCTCCAAATTGTTGATTCCAATTGATTTGATTTATTGATACAAGTTGAGTTATGACGGTTTTCTGAATATACAATTAATTAATCAAGTAAAAAAAAAGAGAGATAAACAATTAGTTTGGTAAACAATTAAATAAACTAATCATGATAAACTTTAATATTATCACAACTATTATAATATTGGATTGAATTTAAACTTAAATTGAAATGAATGTTAATTTAAGTAAACACTGAATCAAATGTTTACACAATCAATTGACTTGATTAAGTTAAATTATTATGGTTAAATGTTGATGAGAAACTAAGGAGAAACAATTTAAATTACAATTTCAATTGGTTAAGTTGATTGATTGTTCCAATACATTAAATCATCAACGATAAACAAAAGTGAGGAAAGTTTTTCCAATAAAAATGTTTACACAATTAAAAACAATTGTTTGCAAATGGTAACGATTAATATGATAACATGATTAATCCTTGACAATTAAAACTATCAGTTAATTCAAATTGATTGTGACTTGATAAGTATTCAAACAATTAAAAGGATAATAATTTTACCAGAAAAATGTTGATATAAAAAAGTTTGTCATCTAAATCAATCAAATTGAATGAAGATGAAAATATAATGATGAGGATGAGGATGAGGATGAGGATGAGGATGGAGATAAGGATGAGGATGGAGATAAGGATGAGGATGGAGATGATGTAATGTCAATAATTTGGAGAAAAAAGTTTTAACAAGAAATTGTGATTAACTGTCAACAGAATTAAAGAAATAAAAAAGATTTGGTAAAGTGTTTAACATCAATCACATGGAAACCTTGACAATTAGAAAAGAAATACCAACAAATTGACAACAATTAAATTGACAAACGACAATTAAACTGAACTGGATTGAGAAACAAACCAAGTCTATAATAATAATAAGACGATAAAAGCAAATAATCACAATTATAATTGCAAATTGTGAATGAAAAGATTTGCTGATGATTGAAAATCCGAAGAAAACAAAATAAGATAAACAAAAGCGAGTTTGAAATAAACCAAAGAGATTGTGATGATAATCATGATGCTAATTATCATGATTATATTCCGATTGATTGAAATCTGAGTTGAAATAAAGAGATTGTGAGAAACAAAATCGCTGACTAATCAAATAGATGAATTTGGTTCATGATAATTTATTTAAACTTCAATCTTGTTGTGTATTCAAAAAGTTCAGGTAAAGTGAAGATGATAATCGTAAATGTTGATAATATGAATATGAATTGAATAACTTTGAATATCGTAACTGATTTAATACAATCAACATTCAACAACATTTTACATGTACATCGATTCAATTTCAAGGATGAGGAGCAAGATGATTACTCAGGATATAATTATTTCTCCATCCTCATCATCATCATCTTCAAATCTCACCATAAATCTCATCGCTCCTCTTGAAAATACCTGGAGCACACGAAAATAAGTTATTATTTTTATCATCATCATTAAAATTGATTTATAATTTAAACATAAATATATTATCATGAATGAATAAATTGTAAGGTGAACAAGGAGGAAAAAATCAGATTCTTGATGATTGTTGAAATTTTGCTCTTCATGTAGTTTCATTTGCCTTTCATGTTTACCTATGGAAGAAAAAAAAACTTTCTCTTCCTCTTTCTCTCTCTCTCACTCCAATGATATTAGAACTTTTTTTTTCATCTTCTTTCTACTTCTCGAATTGAATTTATCGATTATTTCATTTCTCTCTTTCTTTCTCTCTTTCTTTCTCAAGATAATTCTGGGATTCTCGATTTACTTTTTGGTTACCTTGTTAAACCAAATTTGAAACAAATTGTTTAATTTCAACTCGAATCAAATCAACATTTGATCATCATCACAATTTATTATCAATTGTTGATGGATTTGTGTTAGTAGTACAAAATGATTGACATAATAAATTGTCAGATTTACTTGATTAGAAACAATTTATCACTAAATCGTAATTTAATTCTGATAACTGACAAAATGAACAGACACAAAACTATTATATATAAACACAGATTATTGGATTAAATTGTATATTCAATTATATTCACAATTTTCCAAATCATCAATTCAGTTTCTACGATTATCATTATTATTTTTCATTGGTGAATAATTGACAATCGTAATAATTGTAATCAATCTTGAAAAGCTTTCAAATGGTGAATGATGATCAACAATAACAATTGGATAACATCAACATCATCAAAATAACGGTTCTAATAATAAGTATTAAGACACTTTAATATGTTATTATTGCAGAGGTGAAAATAAAGTTACAATTATAAATGATGCTGATCTCATATTATTTTGCTCATCTTCCACTTCCTCTCCTCCTCTTTCACCCACTCCCACTCTCATCCTCATCCTAATCCTCATCTCAAGGGTGAAAACACCAAAGAATCTGAAAGTCTGTGTAGATATAATTTATATCTAAATAATACATATATCTTTTTT